TATATATATATATATATATGATTTATATGTACTTTCGAACAGTAATGGCTGAAAATACCTGCAATTTTTGCTTTCTGTTTGAATCTCGTTGTTTTTCTGTTTAATTTATTTAATTATTGCATTTTCTATAGATTATTTATATATCTATAACATGACCAGATGTTCTATTTTTAGTGGGACAGTCCTGTTTTCAACGTAATCGTTTTACTGTCCTACTTAACGTCTCATAATATAAAAGAAAATAATTGTATTACTTTTTAAGAATAAATTATTATGTGATATTTATCTTCATTGCTTTTAAAACTTCTACTGATACTTTATATATATATATATATATATACACAAAAGCTATATGAAAGTGTTTGGCAAGTTATTTCCATGTCCAGATCCATTAGAATGCCAGTGTTTTATCAACATTGCAGTTCATTTCATCAGGACACACGCAGCAATCTGATATATTTATATTTATATCCATTTATGTTCTCCTCTATTGCATAACATAAAGTATCCTGCTTTGCTACAAAATATCTGGTTACATTAATTACACAGCACAATAAAACTTAATGCTTAATCTGGATATTAGATCATAGTGTTTTTTTATGTATATTAATGCTCCAAATCCAATATCTAAATTGCTCTATTAAGTCACAATTTTTTCAATGAAATATAGCATGATTTTCCAGTACTTTTACACAGCCATTTATAATTTGGTTTTTAATATGCAAGCTTATAAAGTTGGTATACAAGCTGGTTAAAACAGGTAGACAATCAAGCTATTTTCTGTTGATAATAAAAATTATGGCAAGATAGAACATTTGGATTCAGTTTTAAAGCATCAAATACACAATCATGGTTTAATACCCAGATAAAAAAAAATTTTATGTTATCTGTTATATAAAGTAATTATATATGATGACTTACATATTGATTAACATTACGATGATAAATTTTTTTATTTGTTTTCTTGCATTGAGATTTTGTAAAGGAAATAGAAATAAAGAGTATATGTTATTCAAGTTTTTATTTGTATTTAGTATTATTATTGTACATATATGTGGAACATCTTATACAATCTTATATTTCACAATGATGGATATTTTTCAACTAGAGACTCAGTTGACATACTGTAACTCATCATTCTTGTTATTTGCAATGTTAAACAAGAATGAAATAATCATGTTACACTGTATCAACCATGTCTCTTGCTTGAAAATGTCTTATATTATTTAATTGTATAATTGTGACATTGATTACAATAAAGGATTTTTATTGTTTCTTTTATAGAATGGAGACGCGGATTATACGAATTAATATCAAATGGAATCCATGGAAACGTAAAAAAGGACAATGTAATTCAAACATTAGGTGAACTTACGGTACGACATGATTCTTTTTATTACTTTAAACTTTGTGCAAAATTGTACCAAAATTAAACTGTATAGTAATGATATACTAATATGTATAATTTATTTGTAGAGTTTTGATGGTGCCATACCATCTGCAATAGTGGACATATTTACTTTAATTGATGCAGAAACGCATAATGAAGAAAGAAATAATTTTTATTATATTGTGAAAGAGTCTGAGAAGGTATAAAATATACAGTTATTTTTTTTTTATATATCAATATATTGTATTTTACACATTTTTATGAACCGATGATAGTATCTCTCTAGAATTGCCGAAGTATTAATTTAAGAATTTCCTATCTTTTTTTTGTTTTCGATTAATAGTATATTTTTTGTATTTTTTGTATTCGCATATTTTTAATATTCATTACTATGTATATTTAATACAAAAGAGAAATAAGAAAAAAGTTGAAATTATTAGTAGAGCCAGAATGGCCTATCGGTGATTCTAGTATTAAAATATCTGGAGTTACTAATTTTCATTTATTTTAATTAATTGAGCTCTAGTTCCAATATGTTACCTTAACCTTTTATTTATTCCCCACAGTTTTTGACCGATAGAATATTGAAAGAACGTTTAGAGATTGAAACTTTACAAGATGTAGGGACATTAAAAAATAAAAATTTTCAAACCAAATTTATAAAAGTAAAAACAAAGTTGTAGTGAGTATTTTTCCATCAATTTACACAAGGCTTATTTATAGAGTAAACAAGTTTCTTACAGCCTGCTCACCTTTTTACAGTTATAAACAAAGGAAATTTAACTTATTTCGTGAAGAGAGTGAGGGTTATTCCAAGCTCATTGTAGAATTAAATCAAGAGCGTCCTGACAGTGAAGTGGCCTCGACATTGGAAATTGTTAAATCCCTTATTGGTATGAATAATGTTTTATTGCAAGTACAAATGTCGCTTTTTTCAGAAGATCCATGTGTTGCAAGAGTTATTATATAAAAGTTTTAATAAGAACACAAACTTATGAGTAACTGAGTTAAAGGGAAAAAAATAATAGAAGTACAAGATGCTATTGTCCTTACAGGTTATTTCAATCTTGATCCTAATAGAGTACTCGACATCTTATTAGAAACCTTTGAAAATCGACCGCAAGACGATACTCTATTTATTCCCTTAATACGTTCATACATGAGCGATCAGCAGGTACTTTGTGAGGTGTTAGGATTCAAATATTGTTCCACCATAAATGCCACGCCGTTCTCGCTGCAAAAGGTTACCGCGCTAATGCTGCAGCATGGTGTGATTAAACTGGATGATATATTACCTTGGCTAGTGCCAGACGATAAAACTATCATATCAGATCATGAGCAGGTGATGAAGCAGGCCAAGGAATATGTACGGAAAATGAGCGTGATCTCAACAAAAGACAAAGAGGACGTTATAGAAGAGAAGGAAAGTGCACAAGTAATAAGCAAAAAGAAATTTTACCATATTTGACACAAATTCGAGTATAGTCAAAAAATTTAGTGAAGCGTGACCAGCGAAGGAATATATTTCTATTCAAAATTCATAATTGCAATTCAATTTTTTGATTAAACTTATGAAATTGTGTGCGAAAGAAATTGTACTCGAAAAAAATATCACTTTAAAGTCGTACATAAGATTTGATATTTTTTTAATAGTTACATGATTAATTAATTGTTCACATTTTGATCTCTTCCGTTTTAAAGGATAAATATGCGAGCAATCAAAAATTTGGATTATGTGAAGCGCTTTTGGAAGTTGGAGCTTGGGAAGTGGCACAAAGTTTATTCAATCGCTTGCCGGACTATTGTTTTACAGATCAACGTCCCATAGCTCTAGCATTGTGTAAAATGATTCAGGCTCTTGTTGAACCCGTATACAGAAAGTAAGTTATTAATGTATCTATTAGAGATGTGCGAATCAGAGTTTTTTTACGCTGAATAAAGTCGAATCGAATTTCATTGCTTTGTTTGAATCCAAATCAAACAAAATTGATAAAATTTTTTCCGAATTGAATTATAAATTCAATTAATTGAAATATTGAATCGTTGAAACATAATTTTTAATTGACATATTTATTAAGTTAAGTTTTAATATATAGATAGAGATAAAACAGAGTTTGTACCGAAAAAAAGACAAGAAAACCTGAAATTCTCATAGAATTTCTTTATTTAAAAAAAAATAAAATTTTCATGGGACTTTATTGATATACTCAGGGAAATTCTTAAAAGTTAATTTTTTAATAGTAATTAACATATATGACGCTCAATTGAATAAAACAAATTAATAAATATAAAAACCATTTACTTTATTAATATTGAAAATGATTATTAAACATTAGCAAAATCTAGCTTTTGCTCTTAGCCCCTCTATATTTATTAAAATTTGTTTC